AAGAGACAGCCTAAAGAATGGAAGAAAACCTTTGCCAGCTACTCTTCTGACAGAGGATTGATATCCAGATTATGTAAAGAAATAATAATAATAATAATAATAATAACCCATTCAATTTATTTATTATAGTGTTCTCATACCAGGGACCCAAGCTCCTTCTACCTCATGCTTCACCATAAAGAGTGTTCCCTTCAGAGTCTGAGAGGGTCACTCAAGCTTCAGCCATAAAATACAGGTTATATAAAATACACTTATTTTCATCCCTATTATTATCTTCCCATAATATTTCACTGGTAATTTGGCCACCCAGATGGAAATCACATTTTCCATCCTTCCTTGTAACTGTACGTCATAATATAACTAAGCTCATCCCTAGGGATGAAAATAAGTAGTAAGCACGATTTTTAGCAATTGCCTTTTAAAAGAAAGGGACATTTCTTCTCCAACCTTCCTGTCTATGTGCTGAATCAAACCTGTATTTTATGGCTGAAGCTTGAGTGACCCTCTCAGACTCTGAAGGGAACACTATTGTGAAGCATGAGGTAGAAGGAGCTTGGGTCACTGGTATGAGAATACTATACTAAAGCTGAACCCTCTCTATCTGGACTATTTAGCATGAAAGAAAAACAAAAACTCTTATTTTGTCTAAACTTCTATTGTTTGGGATTTTTTCTCAAAAATAGCAATAACTGCTAGGCATGGTGCAGCTCAGAAGACTGAAGCAGGAGGATTGCAAGTGTAAAGCCAGCCTCAGCAACTTAGCAAGGCCCTAAGCAAAGTGAGACATTGTCTCGAATTTTTAAAAAATAAAAAAGGGGTCTTGGGTTGTGGGTCAGTAGTTAAGCGCCCCAGGGTTCAATTCTCAGTACCAAAAACAAAACAAAACAAATAAAAAATAGCAACACCTAAGCCTATGTGATACAGGGAGAAATACCTATTACAAGTCCATTTCAATAACCCATGTGAGACAAGACAATGGTTTGGATTAGGTGATAGCAGTGTAAGGTGGTAAAGTATATGAAGACAACAAAAAATTTTCAAAGTATAACGACAAATATTTACTACTGGGCTAGACTTGATATCTGTCATAATGAAAAGGGATAAGTGTATTTCCAAGACTATTGGCCTAAGCAAACAGAAGAAGGGAAATTCTACTAAGATGGGAATGAGAGGGAGATCAAGTTTGTGTTACTAGAACAGATTTAAGAATGAGGGAATAGCAAGCAGTGAAAGTGTGTACAGTTTTTAAAAATCTCATCATAAAGAGAAACTGAGAAAGCAGACAGTACCTAGAGGAACATATGGTATAAATAAGATTTTTTGTTTTTGTTTTTGTTGTTGTTTTGGTTTTGATATGGGATGTTTTTATGCTCATAGATATGATCCCGTATCCTTATGGTAATGAGGGTGCAGGAGAGAGTGAGGATAATACTGAAGTAGTATTCTTGATTAGATCAGAGGGAATGGGATCTAATACACACATAGAGGGATTGACCTTAAGTACTTATTGTCCTACTATCAGAAAAAGCAAAATAAGTACACAGCACTGGAGGTCAACATATCCATGTGGGTTTGATGATATACAGATGCTCTCTTTGGATAGCTTCCATTTCCCTAGTAAATTAAGGAGAGTCATCAGAGGTTCATGAAAGAGAATGTTGAAGTTTTTGAGAGTGGAGAAGTGCTGGGAGCCATTAGCCAAGTAGGTATGACAATTTCCTTGCCAGCTTACCCCATGTTGCTGACATGTTGCAGTGACATTGAATGTAAGTGACCTTGCTCAAGGACCAAGGCAGATTAGGGTGTTCCTGGTTTTAAGATAACCGTGTTTAGGGCGTTCCCAGTTTAGGTTCCAGGTTTAAGGTTTAAGATTATTCCTGCTGGGAATAGGGCGTATCCTGCTGCCTGAGTTCCCCTTGAGTTCTCACGGGATTCAGACAGTATATTTTGGGAGATAGAAGCCCAGTGGAGGTGGATTTGGGCAGAAAACGTGGATTTGGGCAGAGAACGTGGATTTGGGAAGAGAACGTGGATTTTCCCCAGAACGTGATTGTAGACGGCTGGTGTGAGTTCGGGAATAAAGAGTTGCTGTTTGAATCTACAAGCTGTGTGGTGGCTCGTGATTGTGTGCCCAGCCAGACTGCTGCATTTGTGCCCAGCCAGACTGCGGCAGAGAAGATCTGAAGTAGTTAGTATCTTGGAAAGAGAGAGTTTGGATGAAATAAGAAAAAGTACTAGTATTGCAGTTAAAAGCTGCAGGTCATGAATTTTAAATGAGATGATTCAGAAGGGTTGTGTATCCAGCCACATTCAGCTATGAAGATAAAGGTAACAAAATCAGCAAATCAAAGAATAAAAGTAGAACTTGAGATTTTACAGGCAAATATGACAAAGTGAAAAAGGAGTAGGAGAAATGAAGGGGTACAAAAGTGGGAACCATAAGGTCCAAAATGGGTGAGAATGGATGCAGAGCTTCAATTGTTTACTTCACTCAAAACCAGATGAAAATGGATTAAAAGTGCAAAAATTTTATTGGGGAAATGTCTATGTGAAAGGAATAGTGCTAGGAGAGAGCCAGGAGAAATGCCAGATCGTGACACAAATCTGACTATGAAAACAAAATTAGAGCAACAGAAAGTTGGGTGTAATCATCCTAGACTATCACAATCTTCCATCTCTATCTGGACTATTTCATGTGTAGGGAAGGTGCACCAAACCACCTGAGAGCCCCTGAGCCAAAACTGGCAGACAAAGGAGTTCTGTGTGTCCCAGGAATGGATCTGCCCTACAATGTCCACTACTAAGTCATTGGCCTCAGCACAAATGCAGCCACCAAGGTCCTAAGTCAGTTTGCTCCTTATATAAGGAGTAGTCTAGGAGGTGTAGGAGGAGGTCTACAAGGTTCAGTCTCATGACCACCAGAAAGAGACAGTTAAACAGCAACTATGGGTCTCAGTACATGAACAAAATTTTTGGAAATAGATCACAGAGATGAGTAGCTGAGGGAAGAGACAAGATCACTGAAGAAGGAAAAATCAAGAAGACAAGGACATTAAAGAGATCTTCTGCTTAGAATATTGAACCCACCAAAAATTATGGATGGCATAACATGGAGAGAACAACCACAAACACATATTGAAATCTTCAAAGAATTAAGGGAAGCAACTTGGAATCTCCATAATAGTATGTAAGGTGAACAAGTGAGTATTGTAATCTGATGGTGTAAGTTTTAAAGCTATGATTCCTTAGAGAAAGTAGAAAATCTTGATAACAACTATGAAAAGTAAGTAGTATATCTAAACACTTTCCAGTCCGGGGATTCAAAGAGAATGTGAAAGAAAGCACTCACCCATCTAGATGGATGAAAGCTAAATATTGTTGTTGTTTTTTTAAATTTTTTTAGTTGTTGACAGACCTTTATTTTATTCGTTTATTTATACGCGGTGCTGAGAATTGAACCCAGTGCCTCACACAAGCAAAGCAAGTGCTTTACCACTGAGCCACAACCCAGCCCTGAAAATTAAAATTCTCGGTATCTGATTCTAACCATTAGCAAATGATAATAATAATAAAAGTGAAAGAGGTAGATAAGATATTAAGTTTAAAACTTTGGTATTTTTGCTTTGGGCAAACTTATTATATGGGGCAGATAGATGGATTTTCAAACGTGAATAAATTGGAGAGATGAAACTAAGCTGAAGAGCTACACAGAGCCATACAAGGATGAGAATTCACGTAATAGTCCCAGGGGAGCTCTGGGTTTCATGTGGTGACTGATGTAAATGAGGATCCAGGCCTTGATGCAGGTGATATTTGTTTGGCAGATTTGGGTAGTGAAGACCTTTTCTAAATAGTCTGATTCTGTTCTTAGGTGAGATTAGGTGGCTACAGTTTACATTCTTTAAACCTAATAAAATCACCTTTTTTAGAGTCTGTATTTCATTTTTTAAAAAATGTGTAAAGCTTTTATATAGACTATAAAGAGTTAAGAATGTTTAGAGCAAACACACAGAGAGAGAGAGAGAGAGAGAGAGAGAGAGACAGAGAGAGAAGTATAAGGATTTATGGCAAAAATAAATAAATAATAAAAAGCTAGGCTTACATTCAATCAAATATAAAATATTAGTAGTTAGGGGACTAAACATTCTTGTTAAAAGGCAGAGATTGTCAAGTCATACAGGGGCAATAGCTGTATCTTTATATAAAGACACTAGATTGAAAGTAAACAGTAGGAAAGATATACCATGCAAATTGCAAGCATTAGGAGATTGGAGTTCCTATAGTATTATCAGATAAAACAGACTCTAAGGCAAAGAGTATTACTAGAGATAAAGACACACAATTCATAATGGTAAATGGGTGATTTCATCAGTTAATTTCCCACTTAAGGCCCTTGCCTCTCAAGAAATCCCATAACTAGCTATTGTCTAGCCAAGGCTCAATGAAACCGAGAGTAGCCCTGTTCACAGGGCTACAAAGTTACATCATCTTTCTTCAATTCTCTTTTCCTCTTATGTACCTGTCCATTAAGCCCCACTCAAATACCATCTACCTCTTCAGGCCTTATTATTCATTTTATTTTATTTTAATTAGCACTATATCTTCCAGCAGATTGGTGATCAAGTCCTTGCCATCAGTTCTCCCTGAAGAAACTCTTGTTAATCCATCATTCGCAACACATTGCCAGACCTGTTTTATACCTGATTATTTTGTGGAAAAACTAATGAAAGTGGTTTCTCAATTTCTTTGTACTGCTCCTTATATTCTACAAGTATCTGAATTTTCCTTTCTGTATCAGTCCTTCCCTACTATCACAGAAGATAAAATACATGTCTATACTGCACCCAATTAAGAAGAGAAACAGAATACCTTCATATGTCCATACAAATGATATTAGATCGCAATTCCAGAGGGAGTTATATACTATCAGAATGGAATTCCTTTTCTTGGAAAGTTGGAAATTTTTCTAAAATTTGTTCCTTCTGTTTGATTATTTGCAGCTACAAAATGCTAGTAGACTGCTTTGTAGAAGAATCACCTCAAAAGATAAATGTGGCAAGCCTCCTTCTGCTGTGCCTAACGAAAGAGTTGCTAAAAGATAACTGTCCTCCCTGGGAAGAAGGTGAAAATATATCTCCAAATTCTTATTATGGATCAAACCAAATTGTAACAAACTATAGAAGAACAAAAACACCAAAGGAAAGTTATCAGAATAGAATGCTGTCAGCTGCTATCCTCAGACCAGAACACATCCATAGAAGATGAATAGATAAAGTTTTACTTGTTTGCTACAATTTCAAAAAAGTGAATTTTACTGTATTAAAGCCATCAAATGAGAAATTTTTCTTTGTTGCATTACTAGTTTCAAATCAGTTGTGTGTGTATGTGTGTGTGAGCATGCGCACATGTGCACACTTCTCTTTTAAAAGCATAACATTGGTGATCAGGATATATGTACAATTATCCTTACTTTGTTCTCCACCATAATTTTTCTTATGAAAACAAAAATTTCAAGATCTGTTGTTTGCTAAAACTCTGTAGGATTTTACTTAAAATCAGCCCCAATATTTCTAGTTTCATTGCAGGAAATAAAGTTTCAAAGAACAATCTATCCTGTTTGGAGCCATACACAGACAGTTAGAATTAAAATGGCAATGTATTTGAGACTAAGAAAAAAGATTTTGCCCTTTAAGATTACCTGCATCATTTCAAAATTGACAGTTCAAAACAAAGAAAAATTTGTGTTAAGGGAAATGATGTAGATTTAGCTACCAAAAATCCATTCATTTTGGTCACTTTCCTCATCAACTTAACAAGTCCTGCAGCAATCCACATTGATCAGGGTTAAATTAATAAATAGCTAGGTTCCAATCTATTTATTTCATCAATATAGCCAAAAGGGGAGTAAAAGAAAAGAAAAATAAAAAGTAGCCTCTGTTTCATTCCTTTGTTTTCACTTGCGATGAAGACCCTTGGAGGAAACTGACACTAGTATGGCAGTATGTGTAAACGTGGCTGTATAACCAATATGATCCTGCAATTTGTACATGTGGGAAAAATAAGAATTCATACGCCATTTGAATCAACTGTATGATATATGATATGTCAAGATCATTGTAATGTTTTGAGCAACTAATAAAAAACATTTAAAAAATTTTAAAAAAAAGAAATTGCCAACTATATTTGGGTGCTATTTTGAAAAATAAATTTAATATTAACAACTAAAAAAATGAACTTGCTTTATAAAGAAAGGAAACAGCTGTGAGCTGCCACTCACCCCATGGTCCATGACATAAAGGAATCTACTAGCAATTGAGATACCATTTATGTGGATCATTATCCTCCCCTTATTAACCAAAGAACCCTCCTCCAATCCACTATGGCAAGCACAGTAAAACAAGTCACTTCAACGTAAAGAGAATAGAAGTGGTTCATTGTAGAGGCTACAGTGAAACCAACATATTGGCTTGATGATTTTATTCTTAAACAACAAGAAAATTAGCATTTCTTGCACAGTTTCTGCATATTAATTCTCAAGACATTCACACACACACACACACACACACACACACCTTTAAAGTATTCTACTTGCTCAGAGAATGAACATGGACATATTTCTATTCCCAGATTCTGAGGAATACTGTCCACTCTTCATCCACTTTTTATTCATTCTAAAATATAAAAGTTTGTTCAACAAATGTTCCCAGAGTGTCTATCATATGTCAGACACTGGAAAAGGAGTAGGGTCTATTGATGGTATTCAGTGGAAGTATGGGCACGTGGCGATCTCCCTTTTCCTTCATTACCTTTACTGTGCATGTGAGGAATCTCAGCTTCCACTCTGCCCTTCTTGGGCCTTTATGTGAAGTATGCCCCCAAATTAAGCACAAATTCAACCCACAAGTTGAGATTGTAATTGGATTTTTATCAGAAGATAGTAAAGAAATTATATTACATCACAGAAAAATTAAAAAAAAAAAATTCTCCCACAACCGCATCAAGCCCTGCTACTTCTATTTCTTTTCTTTTTTTTTTTTTTTTTTTTTTTTGGAGGGACTGGTTCTTTATTTCAAAAAGACACTTGTCAATATTCAGTATCAAAACAGTTGCACTGTTGTTTGTCTTTCTCCCAACTGGCCCCAAAGAGACCACAACAAAGGAGAATACATTTTAAGCCAATAAGCTGCAGGATGTACACCTAACAGACCTCATGAAACCTCACCTAAAAAAGTGGGGATTGGGCTGGGAAAGAAACTTTGAACGTTCAGCACTCTGCCAGCCCAGACTGCAGGACTCTCACAGCCAGACGAGGTGGCCAGGTACCCCACCCCAAAGATGCAGTTTCAAAATAATATAAAATTTAAAAAGTTGTGTACATAAGCTATTCAAGATTCTCCAGCACTGACTGATACAAAGCACAATGAGATGGCACTTTTAGATACAGCAGCTTCAGACCCAGAAAAGGGTGATGAGATGAGTTCATATAGCTAAATCAGTGGCCAAAACATAATTTTCTTTCTTTCTTTTCTTTCAAGCAAGCAGGAGAGCAATTAAGTGGTCACGCAAGATTAAGGGGCCCATGATCCATTCTGTGAACACTTGGGAAGTGGGTAGAGATGGGAGAAAAATTTGGTCTCAGGGCTAAGAATATGGCTCAGTGGTAGAGCATTTGCCGAACAAGCACGAGGCCCTGGGTTCAATCCCCAGCACCAGAAAAACAAAAAGTCTCAGAGGTCTCACCATGTTAATTTGGTCATTTCTGATGAAAAAAAGTAAAAAAATAAGAATACAGTTGTCTAAAGATACCTTAAAGCTAAAAATAAAACAAAACCTGAATAGCAAGGTTTTTGTTTTTTGGCGAACTCCTCTTGGAATCACCTTTCTGGTTTGGCTGGTACTTTGCACAGAGCAATGAGGTTTGCCACAGTAGAGTCTTTCCCTGGGCTCTGTTTGGCTCTCAGTAAGGCAGGCCCATTCCTCTTTTCCTCCTCTATGGAGAGGGCAATAGGGACTAGGCTGGAAAGTTACCTTCCAAAAGTGAGAAGGGAATTACATTGCTGCTTCAGAGTTATGAAATTATTTGGAATGTTTTACAAATGGTTACTGTAACAACAAAAAAAGTAATTACAAAATGTGTACATCACAACATGCTTTTTTAAAGACACTTTGCGTTGTGCTCACATTCCCTTAAATGCTGTTCCCAAAAGTGCTCAGCCTCTAGCCCAGCTGGAATCTCTGGGAAGAAGCAGACACAGTTTGGTGAAAAAGACAAGGGGGTAGGGGGTAGGGGGGGTGTTGAAAGGAGAAAGCAGCCTTCCAGTTAAAGATCAGCCCTCAGTTTCAAGGTCAGCTTCGGGCTGGCTGGCCTCAGGCGGAGTCAGGGTCAGAGGGAGGAGCAGCAGCAGGGCGGGACTGGGGAGCTCTACATCTCATTCAGGTCAAGCAGAGTCTGGTCCAGCATCCTTTGTGTACAGAGGTGCTCCTCTTTGGCGCATTTCAGCTTATCTTCCAAATCATCAATTGTCTTTTCCAGTTTGGCTACCGATCTCTCGGCAAACTCAGCGCGGGTCTCTGCCTCCTTGAGTTTATCAGTGAGAATCTTTATTTCTTCCTCATATTTGTCTTCTTTTTGAGAGTACTTTTCTTCAGCAGCATTCAGACACTTCAGGTTCTGGTCCATCAGTCTGATCTGCTCATCCATCTCTCGGCAACGGGACTCTGCCAGCTCAGCTCGTTCCTCTGTGCGTTCCAAGTCTCCTTCAATAATCACTAACTTACGAGCCACCTCTTCATACTTCCTATCTGCTTCTTCTGCAATGTGCTTAGCTTCTTTGAGTTGGATTTCCTGGAGTTCCATCTTTTCTTCATCTTTTAGGGCCCGGTTTTCAATAACCTTCATACCTCTCTCACTCTCATCAGCAGCTTTTTCTGCTTCCTCCAGCTTTTGCAGGGCAGTAGCAAGGCGCTCCTGAGCACGGTCCAGCTCCTCTTCAACCAGTTGGATCCTTCGGTTCAAGGAGGCTACCTCAGCCTCAGCCTGTTCCCGGGCCCGCCTTTCTCCCTCAACTTCCCGCTGGAGGCGCTCAGCCCTCTCCTCGGCATCATCCGCTTGCTGCTGCAGAACCTGGATCTTGCGCTTCACCGCCTCGACGGTGGTGATCCCGGCCATGGTGCCCACCCAGCGGCTTCTCGTTATCTGCCTTCTGCCTCCTCTCGGCGCAGCAGCCGCTTCTCCTGCTACTTCTATTTCCCCTTCCCAACCAGATGCCCTAAATTCTCCAGCTAAAAGGAATACTCTACTGATTAAAACAAACGCCCCATCACATTCCAAACAACTATGATTAATGAAGCCCCAGTCTTTTGCCAAACCATAAACAAGGGTGTTTCCATGTCCCTAAAAGCCTTCAATTCATATTTATGTGTATTTTAATTTATTTACATTTGTTATAAATATATTTATATGTTATAGAAATGCGATATAAATAAAGATAGATATGTGCCTATCTCCTATATCTACATCACATTTCCTTTCATTTGAATCCTGGCCACTAAACTAATGGCTCATACAGTCTTTGTTTACCATACCATTTACCTGAGTTCACGCACCTATGGTCATAAATTCCCAATCGAGGGAAAAAAAAAGTCACAACTGAATTCATGATACACAGTGTATATCCAAGCTATAAACAGTCCTGGTTCTGCTTTGTTGCTCAGCCTAAACTTGCTTCAAAACAGAAGTCCAAGTTGGACACTGAAATCAAAATTTTTTTCCATTACGTAAATGCTATACAGCCTCCTGTCTACATAACTATCCTTGCCTAAATATACCCATTCTTCCTATAACCACTCCCTTTCTCAACCCAAAACTTAAATATAATTCCCCAAATGCATATTCAAAACATTTTCTGAGCTCTTAGGTACGAATTAAAGAGAAATAAAAGCAGAACAATTAAGTGAAATAAAGTAGGAACATGCTACATATATATAAGCCATTTGCCTCACTTTTTCAAGTCATAAAGTTGTATATATAATGTTCATAAGAAACAGAAAAGTCCTCAATAAGTGTTAACTGCTATTTTTTGTGTTTGTTGTAAATATTATATCTATTTGTTCCTCTGTCAAGTAAGAGAAAAGGGAGCCAAATCAAGTTAGTCTTTAAAATTACAGACTTGCTCTACAAACAAACAGGAGGGAGAGGGACTATCCTTGCCAAGAACAAGTTTTAATTGATGATGGCTGCAGCACTAATGAGGCTGCCTCCCATCGATATGGCTCCTGCTCCAAAGTACCCCTCAGAGGGACAGCCATAGAGGCAGACAGAAATGACCCACTCTGTTGCCAGAACCTCCATGTGCAAGCATCAATAAACAGCGCTGCACTGAACCTCCTGTCTTCAAGTCCACGTTGTCAGCTCACACCATGCTTAGGGAATCAGACTCTCCAGGGAAATAACAGTTAGTGAAATAAATAGAGAGGAAATAAATGCTATCCTATGGTGGTTCTTATGATAGATGAATAGCGTACTATTAGGAAAAACTAGTGATACATAAAACATTTTATTCAAGTCTCAAGAAAAATAAAATTTTCAATGGCAAATTTAACAGTTTTAAGCAAATAACATTTCTACACAGTTTAAATTTTATCTGTGAGCAAGATACTTAAAACATAGACACTTGCTTCTGTAAAAGAGGTAAGACACTTAAAAGTTTTGAACTTGAGTAGAAAAAGAAGAAATTCATCCAGAGTAAATATTGAATATCCAGATGTGAAATGAAAATCTTTTTTTTGTTTCTCTAATATCTAGGTTGGTAGTTTGAAATCTTCGCCTTATTAAAATTTAATAGTTGAAATTGAATTTACCCTGTGCCATGGTATAACAAACACTTCAAGTGAATGGCTTCATTTTTGTCACAACATTATGAGTAGTTGCAATTATCAGAATTTTCCAAGTGAGGAAATTGAGGTATTTCCCAAGGTCACATAACTAACACTAGAAGAAACTAGGATTCAACTTGTATGGTCTGGTTCCTAAACCTCTAAATTTACTTGCCTTCCTTTAATTTTTCTCATCAAATAGAACTCAGCAAATAAGTTCATGTCTACTTAGGAGTAGAAGATCAAACATTTAGAGACAAATTTTCTTCCACGTTTTCAAATTAAATCTACACAAATCAGCACATATTTCAATACTGCACAATTTTACAGCATCTTTTCTATCACTGTTCCCATCACTCCAAATCCACCATTAAGACCTGTCATTTCTACCTCCCAAATATCATGAATCTATTCCCTACGGCTGACGCTTCATTCTCAGCAAATGTTACCCTCTTCCTGGCTTATGGCAATAGCCTCCCAATTTGCCACCTATCTTGCCATTTGTGTTTCCTAAAACTCCTTGAATATATAGTCTCTACACTACAGGATGATTTTCATAAAATTTAAATCAGATCACATTCCTCCCATGCTTAAAGCCCTTCAGTGACTTTACACTGCTCTTAGAATAAAATTTAAACTTTTTCACAAAGCCCTTCTCCATCTGGTTGCTACCTTTTTATTCAACCTCATCTCACACAACTCTCCCCATTGGGCTTTAGCCACTCTTCTTCTTTCTGTTCTTTTATAACAAGCCTTTGTACTTACTTGTCCTGAGAACAGTCTTCCTCTGGACACCTTCATGCATCTCATCATGCCTCCACCTCATCATTAAGGCTCAGCTGAAAGTCACTACCCAAAAACATTTTCCTTGACTCCTTATCTAAAGTATTTCACACATGCACAATGTCCTCTTGACTTGCCCTTTACCATCAATCAGAGCCCACTCTATTTCCATTAAAGCATTTACCAGTATGAGCAGCCATTATCGGCTTTCTCCATTAACATGTAAGTCCAAGAGGAGGAACTACCACTTTCTTATCTGTTGATGTGTCCCAGGCCCAAAAGAACATCTGACACACAGTAGAAGCTCAATAAACACTTTTTAATAAATTAATGAACTCTCAAACTTCTTGTTCTTATGCTTTTTACTTTTCCAGTTTTACTGAGGTATGATTTACAAATTAAAAAACTGTATATGCTTAGGTGTACAATGTGGTGTTTTGATATAAGTATACCTTGTGTAATGATTTCCATAATCAAGCTAGACAGTATATCTATCCTCACAAATATCCCCCCTTCGTGTGTGTGTGTGTGTGTGTAAAATTTAAAATCAAATTTAAAATTTAAATTCAAATCTTAGCAAATTTTAAATATACAATATATTATTACTAACTATAGACACCATGCTATACATTATTAGGTCCTCAGAACTTATTCACCATATAACTGAAGGTTTGTAAACTTTGATCAACATCTCCCCATTTCTTCCACCATTTAGCCATTGGCAACTACTGTTTTCCTCTCAGTCTCCCACTGTGACATTGCTCATAATATCCAAAATGTGGAAACAACATAATTATCCACGGACCTATCAATAGATAAAAAGACTATAGTATTTAAATATATAAGAGCATATTACTCAGCCTTAAAAGGAGAGGAAATCCTGCCATTTACAATTGTGCAGGTGAAATTGGAGGACATAAAGATAAATGAAATAAGCCAGACACAGAAGGATAAATATTGCATGATATCATTATATTTTGAATCTGCTGCCTTTTAAATCTAACTGTGGAAATTCCTCTTCAATATTCAGAAAATCAAGGGACTAAAGAATATCAGGTCAGACTTAAAGAAAGTCCGCACATAAACATATACATCAAAAACAGCTGAAAATGTTGCCATAATATATATGCCACCAATTGTCATCATAAATCTAATCAAAAGAACAGCCAAAAATGGCATAATTCTTTTTAAAAGTCATAAACTTAATTTAACATCACAAATTCTAAATAGTTTAAAGTTGGGAAGAAAGGTGGGAAATTTTTAAAAGATCAACCTCTTCTTGCATATCTACATGTTTCTTTTAAAAAAAAAAAAACTAGACTAATAGACTAAGATAATTACAAATTCTACTTTGTTTTCATATCATTTTTAAAGCAACGTTTTTCTGCCTCCTTAGGAAAGGTATAAACATTCTCAACAAATCACAACCAACAAGATGATTTCAGTATATGTCAGACAAGTGGGTACATTTTTTGGTTACCTGTGTCAGCAAATGTTTTCCTTGGCCTGTAGGCAAAAGTATTGTCTATCTTAAAAAGATTGGAAGGAAACCATATTTTTAAGGAATAAAGACTTTAAGGAATATGTTAAAGCATGAATATACTATAAGAAGAGAGCTCAATGAAAAATATAAAGCAAAGTGGTCAAAGTAATACTCAGATTTCAAGGTCTAGGTTATCTTCCATGAGAACCATCAGTTGATATTTCCTGCCTCAATGATTACAGCATGTAGCCTAAGATTGCTCTGGATTTTTCCTTAATACAACATTCATTGATTTCCTGCTATGTGCAAAGCAAAATTTGTGAAGTTGAATAATGTCGAAATATGATTCCTATTCTTTAACTGATTATAGTCTACCAAATTAAGCACACCAAATTAACTAATGGTTCACTATCTCCTCCTCATAAGTAACAGGTTCCAACTGCTTCAACAGATTCAAACATCAGTTTCTTCAGAATGATGCTGCATTTCTGTATTTCTAGGATACTTTCACTATGGAATGATAAAATATAACTACTTTATTAATTTGTTCTATCTCACCTGCACACTGCAATTCATTTCAGATATACAGCAGCATAATATCTGTGATGAACAATGAGAATTTATACACTGAAGTATGTGAACCAAAAGTACTTCTGACTTGATTCGAAGGTCCTGACTCAGCCAAAACTCAGGGACTTGTGCACAAGTGCAGATGACAGAATCATGCCCTCAGGAAGTCAGAGTGCCTCAAAGTGCTAAATCCAGCTAGCAGTTGCAATATCATCTACTGCCCATCTATCACATTACCTGACTTTATGAGATAAACCTGAACAGAATTTCCGTTTTAACATCAATTTAATGGAAAACTGAATGATATCTTAAAAGCACTAATGTCAAAAATACTGGAAGTTGGAAACTGACTCTTATTCATTAAAGGATAAATACTGAGTGTCTATTGTATATCTTTCTTGTGCTAGGCACCTGATGCTTTTTTTTAATTAGATAACATTTGTACACCATTTACTTAAGTCATGTCCACACAGACAAATATATGCCAAAGAGAAGTCTGCAATATAATAAATGACTT